TTTATTATTACCTGCTGTTACACCTGATCCTCAAACATCCAGGAACAGGAGGCCGAGGTGAAGAGAGGCCGACAGCCGCTTCCAGGTAATGAATAAAAATGAGTCTGTGAGGAGGAGGAGGAGGAGGAGGAGGAGGAGGAGGAGGGAGGTAATGCATCACCTGAGTATAAGAACAGGTAATTCTGACTCTGTTTACACTGAAGCGTAAATCTTCCAGAGGAAACAAGTGTCGGCTTCTTTTCCTGTTCCAGAAACTATTAAAACACACACACACACACACACACACACACACACACACACACACTACAGCACAAGATGTGGATTAATCCGCCGCTGATAATAGTCCCAAACAAATCCCCTGTTCCCTGCTGTTTGACAGATAAAGAATAGGACAGTTCATTTAATTTTGCAGCTTTAGACTGAACCAGTTCTGAGAAACTGTGATTACACTTTTATTTATTATTATTATAAGAAAATAATATGTGCATAAATATTGAAAGTAATAATTAGCTTCTAATTAACAGTGACAATCTATATATGAATCTATACAGAAGCTGTAATTAATGTGATTATTATATCTGAATATTATTGATTCACGTCAGGTGGAACTGATTCAATCTACAGCTTCAGTTCATCTTTATATTTGAACTTTATTTAAACAGGTTAAAAATAAAAAGAGAGCAGATCGTAACGTCCAGTCAAAACATCTGATCATGTTCATGGAGAAATAAGATCAATTAGTCTTTAGTGTTGGTGCAGTGAACTAACGAGAGCATAAATTAAGTTTCATCATCAATTAAATCATAATATAAAGTTTGAGTCCAAAATGAAACTAGAGATTTATGAAGAATAATCCTTTAAAATCTAAAAGTTTGTCCTTAAACTTTATGATCAGGCCTCACACACACACACACACACACACACACACACACACACACACACACACACACACACACACACATTACAAACTTCAAAACTCATTTCCACTTTGTGTAAAAGTGTTTAAAAGAAACTAAAATTAATTAAAATTCATAACAGTCAATTTTTATCTTTTCATTCCAAACAGTGTGTGTGTGTGTGTGTGTGTGTGTGTGTGTGTGTGTGTGTGTGTGTACCTGTTGATAAACCAGGTTGTAATAGAGATTAATAGAGTTGTAATTAACTGATGTTATTAGTGCTAATGAAGCAGGTTTTACAAGCTGAATATTATTAATATATTAATTTATCTCAGTTCAATAAAAACTCGTATTTTAAAATGTAAATGTTCAATAAAATGAAATGAAGTCGTGTTTTCTCAGAACAGAGACACTGAGAAAATCCAGTGACGTTTAAATCATTTAGACATTTAAAAAATGTTATTCTGAATACTTCTTCCAGAAATTGGAGATACATGGATTTGATTGGACAGCGACAATAAGTAATAATTAGAGTTATTTTATTATTAATTATTGTGCTAAAGCAGCTTTTAGTTTCTCTGCTCCTCACCTGTTCAACCAGCTTCCTGAACACCTGAGATCATTTCAATCATCACCAAAAAAATCACAACATCTTTTCCATGTTTTATCACCGCGGCCTGATTTTATGACTTATTCAAATATTTTCACTTTTATTTATTCAAATCTGTTTTTGTTTTTAAATAATGTTCTAGTTGAATGTATTTCCACGTCTCTTCCACCTGAATGGTGCTGAATAAATTAACCTGCTATTATACCTGCTGCTTACCATTAAAATACGTGGTTAATTAAAGTCATATATAAGACATAAACACAGGAAATAAAAACTGTCTAATTATAAAATTTCAATTAAAAAAATAATTTTTAATATTTTACAACATTATTATGGGTTTATTTGTGGGTTTAGGAATGTTTACTGACAAAACGTGTACATGTGTGTATATAGGTATATTACCTTGTATGTAATTTATTTAGCATTTTATTTTTTATATATGTGTTTTTTATTATATATACATTTTTTTCATCATTTACATATTTTTACTTTTTGTTTATTTGCATCTCACTGAACTTATTTTGATCTATAATCACCTCGACTCACATGAACAACTCGAAACTTAGAGTTAATGTTTATTAAGTTTTACTCTTTAATTTGACTTTGTATTGAAAAAAAATCGATTAATTAACTAAATAATTAATCAATATTGAGAATAATGTTGTTTACATCGTGATGACAACAACAAACAACAAAAGGTGAAAAAAGAATCAGACTGTTGTTGATTGACAGCAAGAAAACACCAATCAGATCAGAGCGTTGAGTCACTGATCCTCAGTTACTGACAGACGTGAAACTGTGACTGAAGCTGATGAGGTCAACGACACAAGGAACCGGGAACATGACAGCAGAGGTCAGAGGTCAGAGGTCGTGACGGATCACAGCTAAAAACAAAAGACTAACTCTGGGTGTAAACTTTTCGTTTCAGTCATTAGATGGAGGAAAGTTTGGATTCCAGCTCAGACGTTAAACTGACCATGAGATTTGTAATCAATGAATCAATCAGTCACTTTCCTGATTGATCAGCTGTGTATAATTCATCAGAAAACATAGACAGTGTCCAGAGTTCAAAGTGACGCGTTCAAGTGTCCAACAACTCGTCAAAACTCAGAGATATAAAAGATATAAAAGCAACAAAGAGTCGCACTCTAAAACTGACAAACGACTAACCGATTAATCGATCGTCAATAGTTGAATTCTCTGTGGATCAATCAGCTGATCGTTGCAGCGCTACGTGACGAGATAATCACAACTTTCACTGAGGATCCTGAACGTTTCATGGTGAAGCTGCAGTGAGAAACAGGAAGAGAACCTCACGACACTGAACTCTGAGACGTTTCACTTCAGGTTCAAGTTTTATTTCAACGAAACTTTAATTCTTTAATGTGAAATTATTTTCTGGTCTGATTTCAGGAGCACAAACTACTTTATATTCAAAAACTCATTCACAAGATCCATTTATTGGTTTTTATTTTCTTTTTGTGTATTTTGTTTTTATTTTATTGAACAAACATTTGGATTTTTTATTAATTTATTATGATAATTGTGTTGTGTTTTTAATATTACATTTTATTATTTATGTTTTATGTTATTTTCATGACTTATTTTAATGATAGTATTTGATCAAACAGAATTCCTCTCTGGGTCACATGTTCACAAATACATTTTTTATTTCTGACAATTTCTCTTTTTAAAAAAAAAAATCATAATTTTCTATTAAAAAAACAGTAAAAATAATTTTCTCTTTAACATTTGAGCTAAAATGATTTTTACTTCATTTTAATAACGTGACTTTTTCTTTTCTTCTTGTTGTGACTGCAGGGGCCTCACATGAAGAGGTGGCCCTCCGGGGCCGCTGCCTCGCTGCTGCATGAACACCCATTTATTAAAACACAATAATATCCAGCTGAAAATGATCAGTCCGTGTCACAGCAGCAGCTCATCAAGGAGACTTTTACACTGAAAAACACGTTACAAGATAGATTTTTATTAAAGTGATTTTCCAGATGTGAACAGATGTTTTTTGTTTTTGTTTTTAATTATTACAATCTTGTTTAAAATTCCTCTAAAAGACGAAGAAGAAATAATGTTGAGAAAGAAAATTTTCACTTATTAAAATTATAATAACGTTTTTTTTCTCGTATAATTTCATAAAAGCCCGTGAAGTAAAAATCTCAGCCGAGTCTCTAATTAATGAAATGAACTTTGTCGCGTTTAATTATCATAGAAACAAAAATCATCTCCAGTTAAAACAGCCGCGACAATAAAGTTCATATTTAATTTCTCTATTGTAGCTGCTGCAGGTTCAACACGAGCTCGTCACAGGTCATCGGTGGCAGAATGTGATGATTTAAACAACGTTTCAATAGATTTCTATTTGAAACATGAACAGGACTGAGGCGATTCATTCTGAGTGACTCTATAAAACCTTTTTAAATCATTATAGAGGAAATATTTCTAATTTTAATGTAAACACAGAGCGACACCTTCATGATCCTTTTAAATACATTGAGTCCAAACTCGTAAAAAGCAGCTTCACGTTGAAAGTTGTGACTGAGTCCGAAGTTTTAAAGTAAACGGAAAGAAAGAAATTGACCCTCAGATGAGGTAAAACTCCGTCGTTATTAATGTTAATAATCAAAATTACGGGAAACCAGAGAGGCCTCAAACACAACACCACACTGTGTTATCACTAGTGGGAATATTATAGGAAATGATGAGGCGACAAGCTGCAGCAGGTCGATCAGGCTGCAGCTTCAAAATCAACATGAACATTCAGCTGCAGATGAAACAAATATAATATTAAGACAAAAAAAGATTTTAAACTATAAAGCGTGTGCAGAAGGGGGGGGGGGGAGGGGGGGGTTTCCTGAGAATACGTGAGAATTTTAAATTATGAAGAAATGAGAGAAAATATTTTGAATTAAAAAAAAGAAAAGCATGTAGAATAAATATGAGAAACCATCTTCTGATGTTCATATTATTATATTATTATATTATTATATGATTCTTATTGTGATCAGCTGTGAACTTTCCTCAGCAGCTAAAAACCTTCATGAACCAGTGAAATCATTAAATAACTGACATGAAATCACAGGCTCAGATTCTCCAATAATAAACCAATAAATCAATTCATCATCAAAACTGAGTCAACGTGCAAACTGTCAATCAAACTCTGCAGCACAACGACTGTCATTCATTAACAATCAGAGATTATTATTATTATTATTATTGACACTGTTCACGAGGAAAACAGAATTATTATCGTCTAATGTTGAAGAAAATATCATTTAAAAATCAAAGTGCAGTTTGATGAAAATGATGTTTCAGTTATAATCAGATTCTGATCGTGATAAAAAAAAAAGAAGAAATATAAAGAGAGAAAATCAAATCTCCAGATTCACAATCCTCCGCGACAACGAGCTGGAAAATCTGATAAACACAGAAATGTCAGATTAAACGCGGGAACACTCCCTCCCTCCCCCCCGGCTCACCTTGGAAGCGGTGTCCCAGGTACCGGCTCCGCAGCACCCAGGGGTAGAAGCTGAGCGCGTCCCGGTGCTGCGGGCTGAAGAAGCTCTGCGGGGGGATCTGCAGCGGGTGCAGCGGCAGCCCGCCGGAGCTCTGCGTGTGCGTCCCGGGCTCCTGGAGCACCATGTCCGGCCCGGCCGAGTACAAAGTCCTCCCGCTGCTTCCCTGGAAGCAGGAGCCGAAGACCCCGGCAGCGGCGGCGGCGGCCGGGTGCAGGGACTCCGGGAACCGGAGCGCCGTGGGCCGGATGGGCTCGTCCCCGGAGCCGCCGCCGCTGTGGCCGTTCGCCTCCTTCCCGACCAGAGACTCTATGGTGAAGCACTTCTTGTTGTTGCTGTGCTGGAACATCGTCAGCACCTGGAGCTGAGCGGAGCGGGAACACGGTGAAGATACGAACAACTCGGCGTCCAGTGAGTCCAGTTCCTCGGACTCAGATTCCCAGCTTCCCCCGGAGAGACATTCCTCTCCCGGAGAGTTGTGCGTAAAAGCCGCGAGCAAATCCCGATCGATGCACCTGGAGGCGGGTGAAGTTCCCTCTCACCTGTGTCCGGGGCGGTGTCTCTGCGCGCGCTGCGCTCCGCTTCGTGCAGGTTCAAAATCAAACGAACTCCTCTCAAAGTGTCCGGTGGGATCCTCGGAGCAGCAGCCGGGTGAGAGCAGAGAGCGGCGGGGCAGCGGGACTCTGATCAGTCGGTGTCTCCTCGCGCCTCCTGCCGCCGCATGCTGGAGCCTGAGCCGAGCCGGGAGTGTGTGTCAGTCAGCGGGCTGCACACTGATACCTGCCCTGCCCTCCCTGCCAGAGGTGCGCCGAGCATGCGCACAAGCTTCCCCTCCAACAGCCATTTTGTTGATGGGAGTGGGTGACGGTGACGCTGAGGGAGGGATGATGAGAAACGCTGAAAGTGATGATGATGTTGAGTGACAGTGATGAAGAGGATGAAGATGAAGGTGAGTTTGAACATAGAGAAGATGAAAAACCGCTGATTCATCACTTCAGTCACTCTTAGGGGCCCCTGGGGGCAAGAAGGAAGTTTGGCCCCTGATGCGGGCCCTCTGTGCAGAGAGGTGAGAATTACAGCTACACCTGCTATTAAATGAATGTAATTAAACTCAACTTTATTAATCATGACGCAGCTCAGTGATTAGATCTGAAATCTAGATTTTGAATCAGGATTCATCTTCAACACAAACACATCTGCAATGAATCAATTCATTTATTGTGTTGTATCCATGGAAACTGTCATTACTGCTGTAGTTATTTTTAATGATGAAACACATTCAGTAGATTAATTAATCAATGATGATGATGATGATGATGATGATGTAGAGATTGATGTTGTTATGAGGAAGATGATGACACATGAAGACTGGAGGACACCAGCTGATCAAAGCCCAGAAGAGAAGCTGGTAGTTTCCAACGCCGGAAAGTGACTTAAACAAAAAGAGACGTAAAATCAGTAAAAACAGACACAAAGTGAGTAAAACAGATATAAAAGGACACTAAAGTAAAAACAGACCATAAAATGAAGCAAAAACAACCAAAACAGACTCAAAACAAGTCAAAAGAGATGCACAGGGATTTCAAAGAGATGTGAAATGAATAAAAACAAATGCAAAATGACAAAAATACACACAAAACAAGTAAAAAATGATCATAAAATGATGCAAAAACAACCAAAACAGACACAAAACGACCAAAAAGAGACAGAAAACAAGTGAAGATAGACACAGTGATTAGAAAGAGACGAAAAATAAGTAAAAACTGATGTAAAATGACAACAAATACAAAACATGTCAAAATTGTTTAAAAAAAAATTGTTGCCAATAAACTTCCTGTCAGCTGTTTAATTGGTTTCTAATTTGGCGTCTGGGGAAATAATGAACCATGTTCTGAGTGTTTGATGTACGAGAGCAAATAATATAAAACCTCTAATAATTATATTATATATTATTTTATAATCAGACAGAGCAGGTTTTAATTGTTTCTAATTTACTTCCTGTTTGTCAAACTTTATAAATCAGCTCTGCTCTACATTTCAACAGCACAGTCAGTTTTATATTTGTTTTTTATTTTGAAATCCAAGAGGAAGACGAGCTCCAGCACCAAACCTGGAATATCCTGGAATTTGGAGGCGTGGCTCCAGACAGGAAGTTTAATTGAAGATTTATTTTCTGACTCGTTCCATGCAGCAGCAGGAGTGTCAGGTAATGAGATAGGGAGGTGTCCTCTGACCTTTGACCTCAGGGTCAATTGTCTTGTTCTGTGTCAACTGGCCTGTCACTCAGGGTGACACACACACACACACACACACACACACACACACACACACACAACAACACAACACAGTGTGGACTGTGTGTGTGTGTGTGTGTGTGTGTGTGTGTGTGTGTGTGTGTGTGTGTGTGTGTGTGAGAAAAACACAATAATAAAAATCTAAATAGAAACAAAACAACAAAAGAAAATCACAAATCGACAAAAACTCACGTGAGACGACGTGGTCTCTCGGTCTGGGGCTCTTGTTCCTACGTAGGAGAGGTGGGGGCCCCGGGACCCTTTGTCTCGTCATCCGTCTGTGATTTAAATAAAGTTGTTATTGAACATTTCTCTGACACCTGTGTCTCTGTAACAGACAGGTGAGTCAGACACGCGACTTGTGTCCCCATCACCTCTCATCAGACACCGATGCGGCCTGGAGTCAGCCCATACTCGGCCCGGACTCTGCCCGGACTCTGCCCGGACTCTGCCCGGACTCAGCCTGGACTCTGTCCTTCCTGTGCAGCTTTGGGACCTGGAGGACAAATGGCAGCCCATTCAGGAGCCTCTAATTGTGGCCCGGGAAGCTCCACAAAGCCCCCCTGCCTCCGCCTTCAATAGGCTGCCCTGCGGAGGCCCGTGTGAACCGCAGAGCCCCCTTTTTCCTCCCATCCTGCCTCAGTCGGTCGCCCCCCCACATACCCCCCCCCATGCCCCCTCCACATGTTAATTAATAGGCCTTACTGGCAGATTTGGATCCTGCTCGGCTTTGATTGCAGGCGGCCATTAGCATCTATTAATTCTGCCTCTGGCGTTTCATCGCCGGCTCTGAAAGGAGGAATTAAGTGGTGTGAGTTATTGTGGGGGCTCGGGGGTGTGAGTCTGAGTTAAGATGTGATTATTGTCCCCGCAGCCCGGAGCCAGCTAACTGCTGCTAAGCCCTCTTGAAAGTGAAGGGGCGACTCCTCTCATTAGAGCCCAACAAGGGAAAGATATTAACAGGAAATAACTGCAAATTTCTCCTTTCCACTTCTAATCTCTCGTCTTTATGTCCCACGTCAAAAGGGCACTTAAAAATGTAAAGGGGGGGGGGGGGGCAAACAGCGACAGGGCCAAACAGCGACAGTGATGATACAGTAGTCGGGCCAGTGATGTCACCTCACAGCTCTTATTTTGTTTTTCAGAGAGATTTGGTTGGTGGAGGAGCAGCTGCAGTCTGGCCTCAGGCCTCCTTCAAGTTCATGTTGTTTTAAAACGACAGAAACAGGTAAACAGGAAGTGATGCGTCCTGCAGGAATTTCATAGGATCAACTCGTCAAATTAAAACCCTCTGAGGTCTGAGAGTATTTCCTCCATTTCTACATCATTTCTTAAAGTCCTTGTCTATAAGATAATACGTGTTCACAGTTTCAGAACTATCTCAGCTCTTTCTGTAATGACGACACTTTGTGATCATTTGACCCAAATGCAGCTTGAAATGTTTTTTATTTTCAGACTTCAGACCTTGTGAACACGAGTCTTTAGAAACTGGAGGTTTCAGTCTAATCGGGTCAGATCTGGTTTTTAATGCTGCTGGTCTCAGGTCTGTTTATCAATATGTCCAACACTTGATTCAAGTTAGGGTGACTAGATGTCCCTGTTTTTCACTGTGAATTACAAACAGATGTCTAGCGCTGCGCTTGTTTTGGCCAACAGAGTGGGCTAGCTGCTAGCTATAGCAGCTTCAGTTATCCAATCAGTTTTTTCTTTCTTTATTATTTTTGTCATCTCTAGGCAGAGTAGAGGTTAGGCAGCTCACTCATTGGGTAGGAGTTCATAACCAGGCAGTAAATTAATGAAAACAAACAATCCCCCAAAAATCCCAAAACCCCCCAGCTGAAACTTAAATTCATTTTTATGTTGGAAGAAGTGAAGAAGAAGTTGTCGTCTGTAATCAACTTTAATATAAATAACCATGGAACAGACAGACAATCAGACTTCATGACTGCTTCAAAGGGTAGGGAGTCGTCGTTTTATCTGTCGTCCCTCACTATAGTTTTTCACAGTTCAACAGTTACCACGGTCAGAATACATGAAACTGGGATTGTCCCCCTTCTTTATTCATAGATTAGAACATTGGATATTTTATTGACTGAACTGGAAATGTCGCCGCTTTTCATTTCAGAAATCTGGTCACCTGTGAGAGATTTCTGGATTCTGATTGACAGATGTTAAACAGGTGAGAACATCGTAGAAGAGAACTTCATATAAATTTGTCTTTGATGCATAAAAACAAATTATTTTAGTTCCTATGACTTTATATGAACATTTTTTTATTAATATGTTGCTTCTCTTTGTCACTGCAGCTTCTTGTTAATTGATCATCAGCTCTCATTGAAATAAATGGGGCAGACAAAATAATAGGAACACCTGTAGAAAAGTTGAACTCGACTTTTTCATCCGCTGTAAATCTTTGGAGGGAAAAGTGTAGTGGACACATTTACACACTCACAAATAAATACAGTTTGTTATGTAGTAAATAGAGAGTGATGTGTCCAGTGATCTACTGGGGGGGGCAGTTACCTCGTACCTGAAGATGTGCTGGAGTGCTGACGAGCTCAGGTGTGTGTGCTGAGACCAAAACTGTTCCTGCAAGAAAACAAAAACAAAAACAGACAAAGTTTTATTTAATCGTTTATTTTGAATTTTAAAAAAAAAACAGAAAATGAGGAAAGTGTTTTCACCTTTTCCGACGTCCTGAAGACGAAACATCACATCAAGAAAATCTGATTCTGTCTTTTAACTCCAGACTGTGACGCCGCCCGACTCAGACCGACAGGTACGACACAAGATCCAGGAAATAAACCCACAGAAATCAGCTGGTTTCATATGATCAGGTTGTTTCTCCACTCAGTGACCCAGGTGTTGTTGGTCCTCTCTCTCTCTGTCTGTCTCTCTCTCTGTCTCTCTCTCTCTCTGTCTCTCTCTCTCTGTCTCTCTCTCTGTCTGTCTCTCTGTCTCTCTCTCTCTCTCTCTGTCTGTCTCTCTCTCTGTCTCTCTGTCTGGTCTCTCTCTCTTCTTCTCTCTCTCTCTCTCTTACTCTGTCTCTCTGTCTCTGCTCTCCTGTCTCTCTCTGGTCTCTCTGTCTCTCTCTTGTCTCTCTCTGTCTCTCTCTCTGTCTCTTCCTCTGTCTCTCTGCTCTCTGTCTCTGTCTCTCTGTCTCTCTCTTCTGCTCTCTCTCTCTGTCTCTCTCTCTCTCTCTGTCTCTCTCCTCTCTCTCTCTCTCTGTCTGTCTCTCTCTCTCTCTCTCTCTCTCTCTCTCTCTCTCTCTCTCTCTCTCTCTCTCTCTCTCTCTCTCTGTCTCTCTCTCTCTCTCTCTCTCTGTCTGTCTCTCTCTCTCTCTCTCTCTCTGTCTCTCTCTGTCTCTCTCCCTCCCTCTCTCCCTCCTCCACTGACTGACACTTCACTTCATTCATCCCTTCTTCCTGTTCACACACACTCACACTCTCCTCTGCTTCAGGTGTCTCCAGGTGGCTGTGAAGTGCCATGGGAACACTGTGACATGACAGCCAAGGCTGTGACCCATAGCTAACACACACACACACACACACACACACACACACACACACACACACACACAGCGGGGGGGGGGGGCCGACCTGCAGGTTTCAGGTA